TTCAGGCTTCCCGCGAATCAAATATTCGCGAATCAAATATTCGCGGGAAGCAGGGGAGGGGGCGGAGACTTTGGGGAGGGGGAGGGGTTGGGCGGGGCTGGGGGCGGGGCCGTGGGCCGTGGAGTGTCCTCCATTTGGAGGCACAAAATATGGTAACCCTAGTGAAGTACTGTTTTAGTTTGTTATGGTTCTTTTTTTGTTGTTGTTTAGGATTAGGAGAAGCTTCTAGTCTTGTTTCATTATGCTGTATTTTTAATTCATGGCACAGGTGCTAGAGCTTGAGGTACCTGCTTTTCTAGATATACTGTACATTAAAAGGGTTAAATAAAAAAAAAAACAAAGGTGTAGAACCCTGAGACAAAGGAGAGATATGGCTGAGAAATCATCTGCTACCACATCAGTCATGTGGTGGTGACAAATGATTACATCAAACCCACTGTGCAATATTGTATCTACTGGTGATGAAGACTACAGAGCAGTTCTAGCTTTGCTAACACTTGCGTAGCTTCTTCATTATTGGAATAAAGTGGGTGCTTCTAGGAGAAGGGGCTGCTGTAGGAAACTTGTGCGAGGAAGGTTAGTGTTGCTGCTCATGCATACTGTTTCCTGTAGCTGGGAAGTTGGGTCTCAGGAGCTTGAAAGTGCTGTTGGGGGAGGTGGGCATAGGGGAGAGTGCTGGTACAGCTTGAATGTTGCTTGTGGGTGCTGTTTGTACAGTTCGATTTGTGCTGCTGAGGGAAAGGTTTTGCTGCTGCTGCGTATTGATTGCTGCTGTTTGGGGTGGGTGGAGCCGTGGGGTGATATTGATGACTGTGCTTGTGTACAAAACCCCCAGCCAACCCTGAGTCTAAAGCTCTTTTTTTCCTTTGTCATAACAACAGCAATGTTAAATTCTACTCCTGGATCCTGGGTGAAATAGTTATTTGTTGGTTACATTCATCCAGTTCTCCCCATCATGCTTCAATCTTCTGTAGAGCATGCAGCAAAACAGTGGATAAAAGCCCTGGGGAGCAGGAGGATAAAGTATCCATGTGAGATGTCCACTTCCCCTTCTGGAGTAGCCATCTCTGTCCTCCACATGGCCTGTCTGAACTGTGAGGAACAGAGGACACTGGCTTGGCACAGAGCTGTTTCCCTTTCCACACTGTTGGTGTAAAAAGCACAGGTAAATGAATGCTGTGTTTCAGTACTGTGCTTTGTGAGTCCGAGCAGAGGGGACCCCAAAGCACTAGTGCTGAGTGATGCTGCCACTGCTGGGAGGAGGGCCCTAAGAGAACAGCAGTAAGAGAATTCCTCCTTGAAGATTCATAGGGCTCAAAACAAGGTTTCTGCAGATCCTCACTTTCCCCCCACCCCCCGACCTGGCCCCAACAAGAGTGAGTTGAGAATGGGAGAACATGGAGCCAAACAGCTATACAAAAAACTTGTCTTTAAATGGAATGGAAACATGTACCCTAGTAATGGCTTTTTCTAAGTACATGCAACTTCCTCTGCTCAAAAGATAATAAAGATGCATGAAGGAGCTGAGATGGCAACACTCAGTGAGATTTTCAAGTTATATCTTCCTGTAACTTTCTCAACTGGTGGCAACTATGGGGGCCATGATTTTTGGATAAATGCAACTAATTTTCCCCTTATGGTGATTTGATTATTTTTTCATTACAAGTTAATTATAGGACTAGCTTTTACCCATGAAACATTGCCCATGTTGTGGGATTGCACCATTAAGCTCAGTCATTTCTGAACAGTTCACTGTGGAGTGAGGAGATTGTTAGAATCATACAATGCATGTATCACAACAGATATTTTCATTCATAAATTTCCAGCTCATTTGCTACATTGCCAATGGTAATAACAGATAGCAGAAATGAAAGTGCATGAGACATAAATACGAAGTGTGCAGGACAAACAGCATAAAATCCGCACACAATTTGCATGTTTACAGGGGACACAGAAAACAAGACTTATACATGTGTAGATGAGTTGGTACCTGTGAACACTTCATGGGTTGATG